TAATTTTGAAGTTTATCCTGAACTGCACGGGCAACCAGTGGAGAGATTTCAGAATTGGAGAAATGTGTTGTCTTCTGTCAGCTCCAGTCAGCAACCTAGCTGCTGAATTCTGGACCAGCTGAAGTCTAGAAAGAGCTGCTTTACTGATGCCGTATAAGCAGGAGTTAGAGTAATCCAGCCTTGAGGTGATGAAAGTGTGGACCACAGATTTCAGAAGATGGACACTCAGGATGTGCTTTAGTTTCGAGATGCGTCTTAGTTGGTAAAAACATGATTTAACTGTGTTATTGACCTGGGCATCCATCTTCAGAGCCTGGTCCATTTTTACTCCAAGGTTGGAGATTACAGAGGATACATTAGGTGAGAGATAGTTGAGGTCAGGTTGATGAGTCGCCGTGGTACTGTAAGGACTGAAAACGATTAAGTCAGTTTTGGAGTCATTAAGATGGAGGAAGTTGTCAGCTAGCCATTGCTTGACCTCAAGGATGCAATCAGACAGAACTTTCGTTGATTGAGTTGGCTTAAATGAAAAATAGATTTGACAGTCGTCAGCGTAAAGATGGTATGAGACAGCGTGCTTTCTGAAAATGGCTCCTAAGGGCAGTACATAGAGGTTTAACAGTAACAGGCCGAGAATTGAACCTTGTGGGACACCCCAACGTAGAGGCTGTGACTCGGATGAACAGCCATCTTAAACCTTTGTCGGCTGTGCTGAAGAGAAAGGCACAGAACCAAATTATTTAATTCATTAGCTGCGTGTTCTGTCCTCTGTCCTCCAGGCCACACACACACACACACACACACACACACACACACACACACACACACACACACACACACACACACACACACACACACACACACACACACACGTGCCGCTACACTGGAGTAGTTAAATCGGCTTCTTTTGGAAATTGGTTGGTGTGGTTTCTCTGTAATCTGCAAACAGATTACCGAGTGGTTGAAATCTCCATTTCTGGGCTTCAAGGTCAGCAAATTGCTGAGTAAACTCGACGCTGAATAAGGAGTGTTTACAGTTTGTCTGAGACTGAGGGGGGTAATGCTGCTGACGCCGCTGCAGTCATTAGCATGGATGCTAACAGTCATTAGCATGGATGCTAACAGTCATTAGCATGTATGCTAACGGTCATTAGCATGTACGGTAATGGTCATTAGCATGGATGTTAAAAGTCATTAGCATGTATACTAACGGCCATTAGCATGTACGGTAACGGTCATTAGCATGTACGGTAACGGTCATTAGCATGTACGCTAACGGTCATTAGCATGTACGCTAACGGTCATTAGCATGTACGCTAACTGTCATTAGCATGTACGCTAACTGTCATTAGCATGTACGCTAACTGTCATTAGCATGTACGCTAACAGTCATTAGCATGTATGCTAACAGTCATTAGCATGGATACTTAGCACAAAGGAGGGGTGCTTCAACTAACACGCTTGGTCTCATGGGCCACATTTGGCCCCAGAGGGCCCAAATATTGCACTTGCAACTTCCGAGTGGCGGGCCGCTCCCTGCTGGACGTAGTAAAATGGAACTGACATACCTGCCGCTGCAGTCTGCTTCCAACGCCTTTCCTGCAGGTTTTGGATAATGAACACAGCTGATTTGTTTTATTCATTGATGAATCGCTCCTGTAGACACTAATGAAGGCTGAGGAGACATTTCAGCAGTTAGATTAAGGTGATAAGTTTCCCTTCTGACTCCACTAAACAGACACTAGAGGGCGCTGAAAGCAAGCCAAAACTGCCAAGTGTGCCTTTAATATCATGCAAATGGCTTCTTAACAGATCACATTCACATTTTTTATTTTCTGTCTTGTATGATAATCTAGTTTGAACGAATGAATGTCGTTTTCTTTTGAACAAAAGCTCTGGCGCTCCTGTTTCAGAGGGAGGAGTGGGTAATGCCGGTGATGTGCAACTCCATGACTAATCTTACAAAAACCAGAAAAAGCATTCGGTGAACGAGACCTTCATTCGACTTGATTTGAGTCAGATCTTAAACAGCGGTCTTCTTCTTCCCAAAGCTGCGACTGCAACATCTAAAGCATCCTGAATCATCCTGAAATTCACTAAATTACAACCCAAAGCTGCAGCTGTTGGATTCCCAAAGTGACTGCTCAGATTGAAGCTCCTCGTGGCGTTACCACTCAGCACAACTTTATCACTCACAGGCCAGCTTTTTGTGTTCTCCGTTTTCAGCCGTCGACATCAGAGGCTCTGCTACTTCCCTCGAGGCGCTGTAATCCACCGAGCGACCAACGCCCGTCAGGACCCGAGGTTCGTTTTTCATTGGAGCTGGTTCTTTTTATAATGGAGCGCGTCATTCTCCCAGGCCACAGAAAAGGCAGATACTTGACTTTACTGCACCACAGAAGAGCATAGCAGAGCAAAACAGACCCAACGTGGCCAATCCACCCTGCAGATGTGCCATGCCCAACACAGGAAGCCATTAAAAGGCAAATCAATCAAACGGCGGTGTGGAAACTGTGGGGGGACAGAACTCTCTGGAAAGGGCCCGCTGCCAGCGGAGTGAGATGTACCAAATATAAATTCTTTGCAGGCTCTTGGAAACTTGTGTTTTAGTAAACACACGGATTCAGTAGAAGTGATTTCCTGATTTGAAGGGATTTAGATGCAAAGCAGAAGAGAGCTGTGGCAAAAAGAGACGCGATGGAGAAAGAAAACACTTGAAAAAGTCGGCGCTCGTCTTTCGTTTGCCCGGAGGGGAAATATTTTCAAAGCTCATCTGAAGAAATCACTTTAGTGGTGATAATCCCTGATTTCTCAGCTCAGATGAATGCCTACCAAGGTTTTTTTTTACATTCCCAGATGAACTCATGAATAAAGATGTGCAGCCCGACACGTTCCCACTCGAAAAGAAGAAACTGAACTCTGTTTGTTTCCATTTGAATAAATTCTGCTCTTGCAGCGATCTCTGTTGTGACCTGACCTTTTCTCTCTCTCGTTCTGTTTCTCAGAGGTTGAAGGGCGCCGTGCAACAAGTGTGATCGGTTTTGATTAGATCGAATATTCAGCCTCGTGAGTCACTCCTGTGTGTTCCTGGATTTTTGTGCAGAGAAAAGCCACAAGCTTTTATAAAATAGGTTTAAAAAGATAAGGACAGATGGTCAATTCAAGCTCTGAAGCGCAGCAACAGCGACAAGCCTGTTCATGCAGCTTCTTGAGTCGCTCTGGTTTATATATTTATGCATCTGTAACTAAGGGTGCTTCTCAATGTGAAGGCGCCTGGTCTTGCGAGGCGATGTCTTGCGAGGCCAGGCGCCTTGCTTACGAGGACACGGTCCTTCCTTGGTCGAAGAAAACGGTTAAATGGAACAGACTTGCGTCACGTGGCCGCGGCTTCCACGGTGGTCACGTAATGTCACGTGACACGGGAGATAGCATTATATTTTATACGTATTAGGTTCAATATAAATATATAACGAGACTTTTACTTTTTAAATGGTGTATATGTTTATTAAATTAAATATATAAGTGAGTTACTAGCTGCTAGCCACCGAAGCTGAAACTACTAAGCAACTAACCAACCATAGATAACTTCTTTGGATCTAAAAAACATTTTAAAATAGTTGACTTACTTTTAAACTTGAAAATTGTCCCCGAAGTAGCTGCCGGCTTCTGATCCGCCGTCCTTTTGAAAATACCGCGGTGTATTCTGGGTAATTTTTGACCAAGGCTAGGCTACAAGACACCTCCCGTGCATCCTTGCTCAGCTAGCTAAACGGCTAACAAACGGAGAACACACACCTCGGTAGAACATGAACACTGGAACACGTCTTGGCGGCTCCTGATGACGTATCTCCTAGGCAACCGCGGCGGGGCCAAGACATAAAGGCGAGGTTCCTTGGCATTGAGAAACGCCCATATTTGCTGACCAAAAGGTGTTTCCTTTAACGGGTCGTCAGGGTAAATGCAGCGAGGGGAAAGTGACGGCGAGTCCTCTTAGCTGTCGTGTCTCCAGGCATAGATTGGTCCTGTAAGGAATCTGCTAAAATGTCAGCACAGACCGCTGCATAGTGAGCTACGTCAGACCGCGCCAAAAGCAGTGAACAAAACATCATTTGTGGCGCTGCCTCGGCTACGACCCCCACCCCAACAGGAGATGCATGGAAGAGCGAAACGTTGTGCACGCACCCCCCACGTCACAGCTGGGCAAATGCTGGTTTCTGACTAAGCTGCAACCAATCGGCAGTGGTCCTGCCCACCAACTGCACCGGGCCATTCCGAGTACCGACCCCTGGTGAAGTATTTAGAAGGTTCCTGCATACGGCCCGGAAAATGGCCGTTTGGCCGGGCCGGTCAAGTGGAGACACCTGCATGTCGGGAGGTTCCTGCAAATCTACCGTGAAGCTCCAGTAATGGAAACGCACCTATTGTCATTTTATTTTCCAACTTGAATTTTACACAGATTGGTCGGATTTCCACAGCCTTTGCTAAACTTGTGATCTGTTTGGTTTTTTATGCACTGATGTGGTTCCATGGACGTAATTTTCACTTTAGAAGTGGGGGGGACACGGGGGTGGGGGGGGGGGTGGGGGTATCTTTACAGTATGCTCTAATGGAAACAGGCTTCAACACAAACGGTTGTTTTCCGCTTGGTCCTAGAGCTCAACCAGTGTCAATTTAATACAGCGTAATATTGTTTTTGGATGGTAAAAAGTGCAGGGGTCAAAATTGACTTTGGAAAGAGTGGGGGGACATGTCCCCCCCCCCCCCCAAAAAAAAATACTTCCATGTGTGGTTCCCTGTAGTTATTTTAGATTTTTGCTTTTGTCTGGTTTTAGATTCAGATCTCCATGAAACTGACCAGCTGTGTGTGTGTGTGTGTGTGTGTGTGTGTGTGTGTGTGTGTGTGTGTGTGTGTGTGTGTGTGTGTGTGTGTGTGTGTGTGTGTGTGTGTGTGTGTGTGTGTGTGTGTGTGTGTGTGTGTGTGTGTGTGTGTGTGTGTTTAGATACCTGTCCACATTTACCTGAACAACGCTGGGTACTGGGAGCAGCCTTTCGACTTCTTCTCCTGCAGCAAAACTTCCTTCAATCCTTCAAAATAAGAGTCCAAAACATGCACAGGTACCTGAAAACATCTGAAGCTGATAAAGTGGTTTATTGTTGTTCTCTGGTGAAACCCGTGCTGTAGCCTGAAGGAATTCTGAGAAATTATTTACAAGCTGTGATCGACTCCAGACGCCATTTACAGTCTCGTGTGGTAAAGAGCGTCTTTTTAACGCAAACATGTTGTGATGTATGGAGTCGTAAAACATATGGTTATCATGGGCTTTTGCTCCAGAGCTGGTTCATAATAATAACCTTGTTTAGTTCCCATTTAGATTTGATTCTGTAGCTTTTTTCTCATCGTTTTCGCTTTAATCTCTAAACTGTTGATAAAATGTCACCGGGCTGATGCAGCTCTCACGGCTAAGTCTTAAACCTTTTTGCTTTTTAAGTCTCTTTCATGCCTTCGTTCACTTGTGAATCTGATAAACTTTATAAACAATCGTATCCACCGAGCTGTGTGACAGATCTTGATGGAAATACCTGCAAATAAAAGGTTTCTTGTCTCGTTTTTGTAGTTTGACATCAAATGTTCTTAGTGCACAGAAAAAAACAAAAGGTTCTGCTGTTCCAGGAGATTTAGAGGATTGCATCGGTGTTTTTATTATTCTTGGTGTTTATTTTTCTATTATCTATGACTGACTTTCAGACTTTTGCACGAAGAATCTTTTCCAGAACCAAAAACAGTTATTTTACTTTTCTCCCTCATATTTCAAAGCCACTCATTACGAGTGACCCGTCACCGCCAGATGCTAAACATCTGGCATCTGTTGCGGGGAGAACCTTCAGTCTCTTGATATAATCAGTCAAGATATAACTTTATCCTCCACCCCATACATACCTTAAGTCCCAGTGTGTAAAGCAGAGCCAGTAATTCCCTGACTTCAGATTTATGAACGCACCTGTCTGTTATCACAGCTTAAACTGTTCTAGCAGGCGCGGGAATTCCCAACAAATCCCGTTCCAGAATCCCCCCCAGATCATCTCCAACTTTGTTCTTGCCATTAAAGATAAAGCTGTGCAATCTTGGGCAGCCATTACACTTAATGATGCTGCTTAACTAGCCGTGTTACGCCACAGCTAGAGCCGAGGAGAGACGACTTCAAAAGACTCGTGCTCCTCCACGCTTGCTCCGGGTCCCTCCCCTCCTCCAGCTGAAACCAGAAGATGCATAGAGCTGATGGATTTAAATCTTTGCATCTAAGTGGAGCTTGTTGTTGGAGGATCCGTCCGTGTGGACGTGCGTTCGGTCTCAGGCGCCGAACAGATACAGTGCACATGTTTTGAACAAAACCATATCAGAAGGTTCTTGTCCGGACTCGTCTAGTTTTTCCGAACTCGGATCTGGACTCTTAATATTTACTGAATTGTGCAATTCTTATTTTTCTTCATGCCTCAAACTTCTGTGCTGTTTGTCTTCATTTCTTAATGCAAACAATTAAATTTACGGTTGTTTATCCAGACGTTTGCTGTCGTCCTCCCCGTCGCTCCGGTTCATATCTCGTTTGCTCACATTCTTCAGCCAGAGGGATATTTTTGTTTACCGTCTAGACGAGCTGCTCGTGGCGTCTCCGAACGTTAGCTCTGTTTGCGTCTGCCTTCTGGCCTGCTGGTGGGCGGGCAATTAATATCAGCAGGGCGTTGAAGGTCCTTTTTTATTTCTCTCATTATGAATTCTTGCTGCCGTGATTGATTTTGTTTGTTCCCTCTTCCTCGGCGGGTCTGCAGAAGGAAGGTCAAAGATCTCATAAGTATTCACATCTCTGCTCTGATTCAGAAAATAAGATTTATCCTCATTAAAGGGGCATTATGGAAGTTTGACAGCCAACACATGTATAGAAATAATAAATGTCTTCTTCATACGTTCTCCTGCAATGCCCTGGTCCTGTAGAATGAGCCCTGGCAGTTTTACTGTGATTGCCTGTTTTTCTGTAAAATCACAGAAAAAGAGAGATGCTCGGGTCGAGCAGGCTGCTTCATGCGCGTTCACGCTCAGGCATCGCCCGTAGCATTTGCTATCCGTAGCTTTAGCAGCAGAGAGAGAGGCAGTGCCACTTTGTCGCTGTTCCTAACGCCTAGTGACAAAGCTAGCTACATTTCTGAGGACCCTTAGCTACTTTCTGTAGAACTTTCTTCTAGATATTTCCTGCTAATTAGCAACTAAATAGACATTTTCACTCCGAACTGTTCTTTGGTTTGACGTTGTTTCAGCTGTCATCAAGGATATAAATGTTACAGATACAGAAGATGTTGCTGGCGCTTTGTCAGGTTCGTTGGCAGATCTGAAACGTGATTGAGAGGATCTGTTGCCCAGACGCGGAGTGATGGAAATAACCAGCGTGGTTATCTCCTGAAGGTTTGGATGGAGGGTTAGAGGGCTGGTAAGCCTGGAGACTCGATACAAAGTCTGGTGAGAACGATGACTGAGTGATGAATGAAACGCCGGCACTTCCTTAAGTAGTGTCGGCGTGATGACGTCAGCCGCCACGTTGGTGGCAGGAATGACGGGACAGAAGTCAGCGGGATGAGTTCATGACATGCTTTAGCTCACCTAGTAAGACGTCTGACTCCCATGCAAAAGAGCTGGGTTCAATTCTGGATGTGAACATAGTTTATTTAGAGTTTCTTTTTTACATTAATGGTATATTTTTTACAGTAAGATGCCCAAATTTTTATTTGAGACTCGCCGAACGGCATTGAATTCACAGATAAAAAAGATGTGGGTTCAACTTTCATTTTGGAACAATTTTTCAAGCAAGGGAAGGGAATGATCTGAGCATGCAGGAGGACTGACCCATCATAAACCTTTGTCGGCTGTGCTGAAGAGAAAGGTACAGAACCACATTATTTAATTAATTAGCTGCACGTTCTCCTGTCCTCTGTCCCCCCCCCCCCCCCCCCCCCCCCCCACACACACACACACAGGACTGTCTCAGCTGTTATTTTTCCGTTATGGAGTGTGCACGTACAGCATGCGCGGCTCGTGCACGAGCCTACTATTGAAGCTGTAGTTACACTTTTGGCCTGAGGGGGCAATCACGCACATAAAAATTCAAAACTCCGTAAAGTCCCTTTAATGTTTTAAACAGAAAGGCAAATCATTGTTTTTTATTTAGTGAATCTGAGCGAAAACGATTCGATGCACAAATACAAAAATTAGAATTTTAGTTTTTTCTACAGAAACACGTCGACCTTTTGACCCTGACTCCTGCAACCTGAAGTCAAGTTGGATATAAATAATAGACAGTACCACCACTACCTCCACACTGATGGGTTATTCTTTATACTTTCATCTGGGTGCAACTGGAAAACAAACCTCCAGACATCAGTGGGTCCTCTGATCTAAGATCATTAAAACATTTGTGAGTCTAAGAAGTTTCAGCTCTATAAAATTGTCCCGATTCTCTTCTCTGAAGTTACAGGTTCCACCTACAAGAGGACAGTTTAATATTTTGGTTGCCGTCCAGCTTTGAACTCGGTTATTAAATGTTGGGCCTGTCCCAACATGGATGCAGCCGTGATGCTTAGAGGTCCTGCAGCCTAAACTTTGGGCTGATCGGTAGCTGCGTGTTTTGTTACATCTGCAGAAAAATGTCTTTACTTGTTTCAAAATAAGTTCTGAGAATCTTGGAAAGTTTCAAGAAGCTGCATAAAGTTTTTGAAAGTCCTTCAGAGAAGACCTGTTTAAGGAATTAAGACTGAACTTGCTCAACGGCCACAAACACATGGGTCGTTTGAGGTAAATGTGTTGTAAGTAGCCTTTTAGTCTTATTTTGAAAGGGGACATTTTATGCAAAACTCACCTTTTGCATCCTTTTGTGTTGCCATATGAGTCTCTCCTGTCTCTACAAACACTTCAAATGTAGAGGAAAAAAATGTCCGTCTTCTGTGTTTCTTTTAAAAATAATGTGTCTGAAACTAGCTGTTTCAAAAAGTCCCAGTTTGTGATGTCACAATAAGGGGACATTAGCGTTGAACCGTCTCGAGAGATCTGCTGTTCCTGGAGCAGCGGCTCTACTCTGAGCCCCTTCTGGATATCGGAGCTTCTCAGCTTATTGACCCTTTGCACGTGACATCACGCCACTCATGTGACCTCCCCCTTCGCCATGATGGACGGCAAAAAGACCGTTTACACCCGTAGAAACTCCAGTGAAGCTAGTCAAAACAAGCCAGCTTGTAGCCTTTAATGGATTTTATTGAGTTGATGTGACAGTAAAATGGTTTTAGCTTGCTGCGTGGTCGGCTGCACTAACAGACGAGGACGTAAACTCAACTCCTTTTGTTTTTTAATAACTTTGATGGAGACTGAGGACGGAGATGAACTGCAGCAATCAGCGGACTAGCAGGCCTCAGATTAGCAGCAAACATGTTTTTAGCGGTTAACATTAACGTTCTTTTCTTTCACGAGGAAGACAGGGACAGGGATAAATGTTTATACTAGTTATTGACAATCCTGATGGACGGGTGTTTCACCACGGAGGCTGCGCTCCGTCCACTGTAGTGTAAAGCGGGACAATTATTAACAATATTAAAGCTCCGATGTACGATTACGTGTGTTAAAATGACGTTATTTATTTATTTATATGAGCGTCGGCGTTCAGAGATCTTCTCATTCCGGTGTGGGAGCAGCAGCTGAACCCGGTAGCACCACCAGCAACAGAAGCTGGTAGGGATCCGGACTTTTTAACAATCAGCTTCGGTGTAAAGTGAAACGCTGTTTACAACATAGTTATAAATCCAGAGGGGTGAATTTAGGCAAAGTCAGCGACGTGTTTACATCGGTGAACAGCTGCAGAGAGAACCTAAGCTAACGCTGGTAAGCTAGTTAGCATACCGCTCTCTATGAGCCCCGCTAGATGCGCTACTTCTTCTGATAACTGAACTGGGCATGAACCAGTGGAAGGAATGCTGGAGGAGTTTTGTTTTTGTTTTGATCGCAAAAACAATTTCAGGCTCTACTTTTCCCTTTGTTTAGTACTCGTGTCGCTCTCTGTTTACACACTTTTGCCGTCCACCATGGTGGACCCACGTGACTAGGTGGTGTCGGTGCAAAGGGTCAGTTGCAATCTGAGTGGGGAGGGGTGGGCGTGGCCTGAAACAGCTCAATCTGGAAGGACCTGAAACTTGGCAATAAAACTGTTGAGACTGTTCCTGGTGAGAGGGATTTAGTGTGAGGGACCTTGTGAAAATGTTTTGTATCGATTCTAACTTAAGAAAAAAGTCATATGCCCCCTTTTTAAAACAAGCGTTGCAGGTCAAGTTTTACATGCTTGTTCAGGTTTTACTGACCACTCCGACGCCACTTTTGTTCGTATCATAAGGGCGCGGTATGATGGTGGTGAAGTTTGTCAGCCATCCAGGGCATGGTTATCCGCTGGCAGAAAAGGAAAACAGAATTTCCTTCACTTTTCAGTTTGAATTAGAAAAAAGCTCCTCAGATGAGAAGAGAAAAGTCTCAAAGGAACCGACGGAGAGTTTGGTTTCCTTTTTCTTAAACCTCCCGTGAGTATA